CCATCAACCAGCTGAAGACTCAGCGCGAGTTCATGCTGAGCTTCGCCCGGGACCCTCAGGGCTTCATCAACGACTGGCTCCAGTCCCAGTGCCGGGACCTGAAGGTAAAAAGCTTTGCCTGGTGTGGAAGGTGGATCCAGTCACACGCTCCCCTCATTACAGCGAGCTCCCGCAGAGACACAGAGAGGCAATTTCCTGCTCGGAAAGCGAGGCTGGAACTGGAGTCGAGCGCGAGAACGTGACCTGAGCGCTCTGAGAGGAAAGGGGAGGGTGTGCTGGGCACAGCCAGAGCTTCTGCACTCCCTGAGCTGCTGCTGTGTCCCTTTGTGCTCTGCAGACAATGACTGACGTCGTTGGGAACCCCGAGGAGGAGCGGAGAGCCGAGTTCTACTTCCAGCCCTGGGCGCAGGAGGCCGTGTGCCGGTACTTCTACTCCAAGGTGGGTGTCCCCGTCCCTCTCCCTGCCTGTCACTCCTCGGGGTGCCCTCTGCCAGGGGAAGGGTCCCAGTCTGAGCCCAGCCTTTGCCAGCTGGGTGCTGTGGTGTTGCCCCAGCAGCAGTTACAGACTTGGCTTCTCCTGCAGGTGCAGCAGCGACGGCAGGAACTGGAGCAGGCCCTGGGCATCAGGAACACATAGGGCTGCCCTGCTCCTGCCCAGCAGCACGGCTGTTTTGTGGAGACAGAGCTGCAGAGCTCGCTGGTCCAGCTCCCAGGATCCCACTCCAGCAGCGAGGCCCCTGTTCCTCCTCCTGGCGTTGTCCCTGCTGGGGGCAAGTCCAGGACAGCGGGGCTCTCCTCTCAGTGGGGTGTGACAAGCAGACAGGCTCCACCCAGCACACATTTCTACCTGGTTCTCTTCCTGACTGTTGCCTTGTCAGCCCCAAGGCTTCCAGGATCCTCCCCGTGACTCCGTAGTGTCCCCGGTAGCCAGAGTTGACTTTGGAGCCTCCTCCCAGCCCGTCCCTCCCCTGTGGCACCCTGGAAGCCTGGCTCTGCTCTAAGGTGTGGCTGGGCTCTTCCCTGCCACGTTTTACAGCCCGTGCCAGGCGCTGTCGTGGGCAGGATGCCGTGGGCTGACATACCTCCCTGCCCTGACCCCCCCTCCTCAGAGGGTGCTGCTGCACTGGGGCTGCCCCACAGGTCACTCCCCTCCTCGAGGAGGTTACTGGACTGTGTAGAGAATTGCTCCTTCCCTTCTCCCTTCTCCCTGTCCGTTCCCTTCGTGTTCTGTGACGGGCTGTCCTGGGCTGGGGTCACAGGGAGACGAGGTTTTGGCTTCCTGCAGGGCTCTGGAAGCTTGGGGTGATGCAACTCCCTGCCCTTCAGACACCTACACGTGGGTTCCCAGCAAACCACGTGGCTGCTTGTTTTCCCTGGAGCAGGGAGAGGGGATGCAGCAGCTGCCTGGGGCTGTGCATGGACACAGTGCTGTGGGCTCACTGCTTTGGGGCAGTTGTCCTGTGTCACTTGCTGTGGGGACCAGAGGCTCCTTCGTGTGGAACAGGACAGTCCTGGGGAAGGGACATTTTTTCCAAGCATATGTGAGTTAGCAGGTGTTTCCATGGCGAAGCTCCTGTGGTTTTTAGTCAAGTTTTAGGTCCCAGGGCTGCCATAGGGCCCAGCATGGTTCAGGAATGTACAAATAGATTTACTGTGGGGAGCAGCAGCCCCGATGCCTCTTCATGGAATGAATTACTGGTGGTCAGGCTTAGGAGCACAAAACAGGCTCCTCTTCAGCCCAACCCCGGTGTTTCTGCTCGGGACTACAATGCAAATGGACTTGAGAGTTTGGATATCCCAAGCTATCCCTTGGGATGGCTGCAGGATCCCCTCCCTGCCCAGCCCTCCGAGGGGGCTGCTGTGAGCTGGGAGTGCCCGGGTGGCCCTGCTGCTCCTCGTGTCTGTGTAACTACATGTCTGTGAGTAATAGGCTCTCCTTTGCCCTCCTGAAACGCTCCTCTGTGGTACTGGGGTGAAGGGCTTGGTGCTGGAGAAGCAGCCCCTGGCTCCTCAGGGTACTCCCACGTGAGGGATGCCGAGTCCTGCGTAGGCAAACGTAGCTGTTGCAGAGTAACTGCTTTTCTTAACTGAATATTTACGGTTTTTTTCCATGGACCAAATCTTTTTTTTTTGTTTTTTTTTTTGTACTGTACCCTTGTAGACGTCACCCAGTTTTAATAAAAGACTCCTGTGAAGGAAGCTGTCCTCCTCCTTCGTGCTGGCAGCTCCCCATGGGGGATGACACTCCAGTGACAGGACAGGATTATCTCCACTTTCTTCCCTTTTTTTTTTTTTTTTCCTTCTCAAAGCCAGCTGGGTTAAGTGACTGGAGAGAAAATGTTCCTCATATTTTGGCCTTTTATAGCGAGCCCTCCATAGAGGGATCTCCTGGTTTGCACACTCTGCTAAGCCTTTGCAAAAGTGCTTTTGTGCTAAACAAAATAAGAGCAGAGCTGGAAATCCAGTGGCCAGGGCTAATAAATCCTGAACTGCCCAGTGCCCAGCCTGTTACAGGCCCGTGGGGACTCGGGCAGAATTTGGAGGAAACTGTATTAAAGTTTACGTGCAAGGGTTTAAAATGATGCAAAAGGGGAATTGTTCTCTTCGCCCTGGTGATTTACAGAACTGAAAATGCCTCGCAGCAAACCTGGGAGCCCCTGGGGCAAGGAAAGGATCCTCTGTGAGGAGGAGGAAAAAGCTGCTGCCTCAGGCTGTGGTTGAGGCAGGAGCTGAGTCCTGGGGCCGCACCAGGTGGTTCTTACTCCTTACCTGGGGGCAAAATGGCACTTTTAGGAAGACAGAACGAAATGCTTTTATGCAGAAAAGGAGGGAGAGGCTCGGCAGGCACAACTCAAAGACCTCCTCGGGCTCCTCCGAGGGGCAGCTCCGACCTCTGCTCCCTGTGAGCAGGGACAGGACCCAGGGGAGGGCTGGAGCTGTGTCGGGGAGGGTTAGGGGGGATCTCAGCAAAAGGTTCTTCCCCCAGAGGGTGGT